AGCACCCTTGTCTTCCGAGTTAACCTGTGTGAAGGCAACAGTGGTGCATGTCTTCCTGTGGACCAGGCGCCCCAGCCTGGCCTTTCCCTTGATGATGCAGTAGGGCACCCCCATCTTTCTGCACAGAGCAGGCAGGAAAACCACCAGTTCAATGGGGTCTACATCCTGGGCAGTCACCACCAGCTGAGCCTTCTTGTTCTCCACCAAGGTGGTGACTGTATTGACTACTGCTCAGAGGACAGGTGGTCTCTTAGTTGGGACGTCCCCTTTGCCAGCAGCTTTCTTCTCAGCACGGGCCAGTAGCCTTTGCTTCTCCTCTTGCTTTGTCTCTGGCCTGTACTTGTGGGCAAGGTTAAGCAGCTGAGTAGCTGTTTGCCTGTCCATGACATTATAGAGGATGGCTCTTGCTGCTGCAGCCTGATGTATCGGGGCCATTTAACAAAGCGTGTTAGATCTCTTTTGAAGTGGATGCCCTGCCCAATGCCGAAGTTCTTGGGCCTTTTCTCAAACAAAGGATTCACCACCTTCTTGGCCTCCTGTTTCTTGACAATGGCGGTGGCCGGGGCCACCTTCTTCCCCTTGGCCTTCTTTCCTTTGGCCATCTTGCTTGGCTGGAGGGGAGAGCAAAATACTATTTTTGAAAATTGTTCAGTGTATTACAGGAAATGAACATTGATCCTGTTACTGATAGTTCTTACATAAAAAGACCAGTAACATAGGAAAAATTTAAATTAATAAAATCACCAGAGATGTGATACTTTTATTTTTAAAAGGGGGCCAAGCTGGAGAAATGGCCTAGTGGTTAAGAGCACTGGCTGCTCTTCCAGAGGACCCAAGTTCAATTCCCAGCAACCACATGGCAGCTCATAGCTGTCTATAACTGCAGTTCCAGGAGACTTGAAGCCATTTTATAGCTTCCTTGGGCACCAGGCACACACATAACATATATGCAGATACAATACACCATACACATAAAATAACAAAATAGATTTTTTAGAAAGTCAAACTTGGCATCTTTTAATTGTAGAAAATAAAATGGATCCAAGAAATTTGTAAAATACAGGGCCAGAAATGGCTTATCAGGCAAAGCCTGAGGACTCATGCAGTTAGGGGCAGACCTGACTTTCACAGGTTGCCCCCTTCCCTGCACACACACACATGCATGCACACAAACACACACACACTACACATACCCAAACACCTTAGTGAAATGCAAGAAATCATTAAATATAAAATACAGTAAAGCATGAGAAATAATGAAACTTTTCTGTCAGTGAATATTTATTAACATTTGCTATATTTTATATACATGAATGATAATTAGATATATGATAATACTACCTACACCTTTCTATAAAGCTTTAAAAAAATAAGAACTATATTCTAAACACTTTCATATATGATCTTTTTAGGTAAATAATATTGTCCTTTTTGGATTTATATTAAAAGACAACATATCTGTGATTATAAAGACTAGATATAAACAGAGAATGTGAAATTCTAGATTCTTGTTTGAGTTGTAGAAAAAAAGAAATTGCATGGATGGGGAGAGTAACAGTTTTACTATTGTTTTTATTATTATTCTTTAATCTGTTTTTTTTTTTAACAGTCCAGTTGTTATCCCCCTCCCGGTTTGCCCTCCGACAGTTCCTCATTCCATTCCTCCTTCCCCCAGTTTTACTATTTGGGTTGTAGCAGGGTGTGGGTCTGTGCATATATAGGGGATGTAGAGAGGAGATATACTGGTCTTTGAGGATTTTGGATTACGTGGTCATAAGCACAGAAATGGATGAAGCCCCTGTTCCATTTCCTAATACAGAAATTCATGTTATAGGGGCTGGAGGTATGGCCCAGTGGTTAAGAGCATGTTCTTCCTGGATACCTGAGTTCAGTTCTCAGCAACCACGTAAGATGATATACAACTATCTGTAATACCAGCTCCAGGGGGTTCCAGTGTCTTCATCCTCCATGGGTACCTTCACCTACAGGTACATACCCACAGGCACACATACACAATTTAAAAAAGAATATTGTATTTTTAAAATTCACTTAATATATTACATGTACAGGATATATCAAATATTAAATTGATAAAAATAAACCAGTAATCTTAACTAAAAGTCTGAGAAGTGATCTGAATAGTTTCTCAGTTGCCCATTTGTGCTTTAGTTTTCTTACCTGCATATGTAACCAGTAAAAGCACCTACCTCTTGGATGTGCATGTGGGATGCATTCATGCCACAGTACACCTGTGGAGGTCTCTCCTTCCACTGTGGAGGTCCTGAGAATCTTTATCCACCAAACCATCTTACCAACCTAGTCTTTAATACACAATCAATTAAAATTTCTCCTCTACATAAACATAATCCTCAGTTCAGAAAGGACAGGTTTTAAGTGTGTTGTATCAGCTATATACCTCAGTGAAGTGATTTAAAATAATTATATACCAATGTTGAAAGCATTATGCTAATCAAAAGAACCCAGTTAGGGGAAAAATGCATGATTACATTTATGTAGAATATCTAAATTAGACAGATTTATAGAAAGTAGGTTGATGGTCGCCTAGGATAGAGGAGAATGGGAAGTAAAAGAAGGGAGGTCAGGAGTAAAAGGGGCAACTTGAAATGAAGAAGAGTTTCTTTGGGAGGTTGATGGAAATGTTTGGAAATGCCTTTAGGTGATAATTCTACAACTCCCTGAGTAAATTGATTAACTCTGTAGCTGTAAATTATCTCACAAAAGCTATTATAGAAAGTAAACTGCAGCCTGGAGGAAAGGGGTGGTGCCCTCCTTTAATATCAGTACTGGAGAAGCAGAGGCAGGTGGATGCCTGCATTGGAAGCCAGCCTGGTCTACAGAGTAAGGTCCAGGACAACCAGGACCACACAGAGAAACCCTGTCTTATTTATGTATTAGGAGTGGGATAAGGAGGTGTTGGTTATATTGGTCAGAAACTGACACTGTAACAGTAGGGGGGGAGGGAAGCCTTGAAAGAGATCAAATGTTTCGATGCCTAGGAGAAGAAGTAGTAAAGCACTGGAGGATGGAGAAGATCAGCAGAGCAGTCAGTGTGGTTGGAATAAACTGAGCAGAGGAAGGAGCATTTGGGCATGAGTTGGCACACAGGATAATATAGGTTCTTAGGGGCTTTGAGGGTTTTTTCCAGTGAGATGAAGACTGAAAGGTTTTGGTAAGGGATATGATTTGACACAAGAATTTGTTTTACTTCATGCTTTTAAAGCATTGTTTTCCAGTTGTGATGGTATACCTGTAATTCCACTACTTTTAGAGTCCAAGGCTAGCTAGTGCATCTGAGCTCAAGCCAGCTTGGGCTACATGAGGCCCATTCTCAAAAAAAATTATAAAAAGGTTGTTTTTCTTAATTTTAACTGACACACAGTAATTATAGGTATATCTTGGGATGCAGTATGACATTTCATCCTGTTTATACAGTACACTGATCAGAGAGGTAATTTTCAAAACTGTCACTCAGGCATGCATTATTTTTTTGTGTGTGTTGGTAACTTTGAAAGTCCTAGCCACTTACTTTGAAATGTTTAATTGCTGGGCTGGTGAGATGGCTCAGCGGTTAAGAGCACTGACTGCTCTTCTAGAGGTCATGAGTTCAAATCCCAGCAACCACATGGTGGCTCACAACCATCTGCAATGAGATCTGATGCCCTCATATGGGTGTCTGAAGACAGCGACAGTGTACTTACAAATAATAAATAAATAAATCTTTAAAAAAAAAAAAAAAAAGAAATGTTTAATTGCTGTGAACTATAGTTATCCTGCTGTGCTATGTAATATCAGGCTTTACTCCTATGTAGCTATATATACCTCTACTCTCAATCCTTTCTTCCCTACACCCACCCAAGGTCTGACAAATGTTATCCCCTACCATATGAGACTACTACTTTCACTGTTAAATATAAGTAAGAAAATATGGGATTTGGCATAAGTTGGAATTGTTCCTTTTGTTTTTGATGCTGGGGTTTTAACCGGGATCTTTGTGCGTGTGCGTGTGCGTGTGCGTGCGCGTGCGCATGTGTGTGTCCTGCTAGTCACTATGTAGACCAGGTATCTTAGGGTTTCTGTTGGTATGACCAAAAAGCAAGTTGGGGAGGAAAGGGTTTATTTGGCATTCACTTCCACAGCACTGCTTATCAAAGGAAATCAGGACAGGAATTCAAACAGGGCAAGAACCTGGAGCCAGTAGCTGATGCAGAGGCCATGGAGGAAGAGCTGCTTACTGGCTTGCTTCTCCTGGCTTGCTCAGCCTTTCTTATAAAACCTAGGCCATGAATCCAGGGATGACACCACCCTCAAAAGGCTGGGCCCTCCACATCAATCAATAATTAAGAAAATGCCATATAGCTGTATATTATGGAGGCATTTTCTTAATTAAGGTTCCTGCCTCTCAGATGACTTTATCATGTGTCAAGTTGACAATAAAACTAGTCAGCACACTAGACTAGCCTCAAACTCAGATATTTGTCTGACTCAGCCTCTGGAGCTGCTGGGATTAAAGGTGTGTGCTGACAAAAGGCTTTCTAAAAGTGTCAGGGGTGCTGAAAATACATGTCAGAGTAGCTGAGAGGAAGCAGTATAACTCCTTGGAAGGCAGCTGTCTGAGAAGGAAGGTGACTTCAGCCAGCACTGCAGGGAAGGATCTGCTTGCAGCCCTGCCACAGAAGAGAAGGGGAGTAGAAAGAAAAAGTGGAAGATGATGCCATGATTTTCACTAGAAGATTGAGGTTACAGCAGATTCAGGAAATAATGTGAGCTCTGTTTTGACACATAGCAGTCAGACATCCAAGGACTGATCTGAGTAAGCAGACTAGAGATCCAAATCTAGAAGAGGTCACTTGAAGACTGCATGTAAAATTGAGTGCTTCAGTCCTCTAATACAAAAAACTTAATAAACAAGACTTTGTTTTCCCTTAAAGTAGACTTAAAAATTTACCTGTCCGTAATGTGTGAATTTTCTTGTGTTTCAGGATCTTCAAGATGAAGTTCAAAGGGAGAGTATTAATCTACAAAAACTGCAGGCCCAGAAGCAGCAGGTGCAGGAACTCCTAGATGAACTGGATGAGCAGAAAGCCCAGCTGGAAGAGCAGCTCAAGGAAGTCAAAAAAAAATGTGCTGAGGAGGCCCAGCTGGTAAAGCCTGGCTGCTTACTGACCTACTCTCTACCTCCATCTCACTCCTGGTTTTAAAAAAATAACATTCCCTACTTGTTAGTGGCAGTCTAGCCAGCAATTGCTTGAAGGAGTTGGAGGGATGTTTATGAAGAGTTATAGTTCTCTGTAGTAGAAATTAGAAAGGTACTATCTTTCCAACTCTTGATTAAACAGATGTTACTTATGTTACATAGATGATGCCTCTAAGTTTCTTTTAGCCCCTTCCCTATTATCTTTTACTACCAAAAGAATACCTCAAAAGTTCCAGTGAACTAAATTAGACATCTCTTCATTTAATTCCCTCTCCTCCCATTCATCTCCGTTTATAGATTTCTTCCCTGAAAGCAGAAATAACTAGTCAGGAATCTCAGATCTCCACTTACGAGGAAGAACTGTCTAAAGCTAGAGAAGAACTAAGTCGCCTGCAACAAGAAACAGCACAATTGGAAGAGAATGTGGAATCAGGAAAGGCTCAGCTGGAACCTCTTCAGCAGCAACTACAAGATTCACAACAGGAAATCAATTCAGTAAGTGGAAACAAGCAGAATGCCTAGAGGGGCCTTGTTTGTACTTTTTGTAACCTTCTAACACCGGCTCCTCTTCATCTGCCTAGTTAGTATCTCTAGTTCTTAATGCTTGCAGTTGGTGTCTAATGGACATTTAAACAATGGTTTAGAGTAGGTCAGGTTTGAATGCTGGCTCTGCCATGTAGTAGGTGAATCACCTTTGAGTATCAGATTTTTCGTCTTTAAAGTTGAAGATTTAATAACAAGCCTGCTTATTAGGGCTATTACAAGGATTAAATGAGGCAAAACATGAGGTAAGTTAGCATAGTGTCTGATACATGAGTTCTCAGTAAATATTGTCTATTTTTATAAAAATAGCCTGTGCTGGCTGTTTTATGTCAGCTTAAAACAAGCTAAAGTCATGGGGACAGGAAGCTTCAATTGAGAAATGCGTCTGTGAAATGGGAGAAACCTATAGGGCATTTTTCTTTTCTTCTTTTCTTTTTTTCTTTTTGTTTTGTTTTTCGAGACAGGGTCTTGTATAACAGTCCTGGCTATTCTGGAACTCACTTTATAGATCAAGCTGGCCTTGAACTCACAGAAATCTACCCTCCCCTGACTCCCACATGCTGGGATTAAAGGCATACCACTATGTCTAGCTTGAAAGACAATTTCTTAATTAGTGATTGATGGTGAGGGCTCAGCCCATTGTGCCTTGTGACATCCCTGGGCTGGCGGTCCTGAATGCTATAAAGAAAGCAAGCTGAGCAAACCATGAGGAACCAGCCAGTAAGCAGCACTCCTCCATGGCCTCTGCATCAGCTCCTGCCTCCAGGTTCCTGCCCTGTTTGAGTTCCTATACTGAATTCCATTAATGATGAACAGTGCTGTGGGAGTGTAAGCCAAATCATCCTTCTCCCCAAGTTGCTTTGGTCATGATGTTTCATCATAGCATAACTAAGACACAACACAACTTATTGTCTTTTCTTGGGATTCCAATTTTTAGATCAATTTTGCTCATTGAAATAATTTCATTTTCTTGTTTCTGTTTTTATTATTATTTAATATATTATAATATATTGATTCTGCCTTTTTTGGCTTACTGTTGAATTCATTCGAATAGTTGAGGTCAAAACAGCTTTCTCCTTTGTTTATTGGACTTTGTGTAACTTATTTTTTAGAAGATACTTTTTAGGGCTCTTCTTTCCCATTTACAAAGAGTGTCAGAGCAGAGGGCCAGCTTGACTTACCCGATCTTCACTCCCTTCTCCAACAGGAATGTGGCCAATTCTAAAACTTCTTATACTATATAGTATACTATATATGCATATGTGTGTATGTATATAATATATATACTATATATTGCATATTATGTAGTATACTGTGAAGTATACTAAAGTATACTGTAAAGAATACTAAAGTATACTTTAATTTCCTATAACTCCTCTATAGCTTCATTGTTGAATCTCCTTTTCTGTTACTTGGCTATCTTTTCCTCTAGTATCTTGGGCCTTTCTTTTTCTAATTATACTCTGAAAGACTGCCAATTCTCAGAGACCTGAGACTGAATTCTTTGAGATTTCACAAGACTTACAGAAACAAATGCATGCATGCTGAAATTGCAGGAGGACTCACTGAAAGAGATTATTGCAGCTTTTAAGTCAGGCTGCATTCCTAGAGGAATCTGCTAAGAGGGAGCAAACGTGTCCTTGAATGAGTCTAGGAGATAGCTATTTGTGTGTTATATACAGTTCTAGTATTAAATTGTTTTATATTTCTACTTTGTATTGGCAGATGCAAATGAGATTGGAAATGAAAGATCTGGAAGCTCATAATAACCAATTAAATTGGTGCAGTAGCCCACAGAGCATCCTTGTAAATGGTGCTACAGATTACTGTAGCCTCAGCACCAGCAGCAGTGAAACAGCCAACCTCAACGAGCATGCCGAAGGCCAGAACAACCTAGAGTCTGAACCCATACACCAGGAGTCATCAGTGAGTTTTTATTCCGTAGTGTTTATTAACTTTCCCCCTCCCACCCCCAGGTAGATGAAGACCAAAGTTAGTGTGTACATACTTATACTTATATGTAGAGGCCAGGGGTCCTCCTCAAAGTGGTATTCCTCAGAGTCTCTGTCTGAGATCTAGGGCTTACCAATTAGACTAGGGTGGCTGGCCAGAAGCCCCAGGTATCTGTCAGTCTACACCTCTCCTGCTCTGGGATTTCGAACGCACGCCACCATGCTTGACTTTTTGCATGGATGGTGGGTATCTGAACTCAGGTCCTCATGCTTGAGTAGCAGGCACTTTATCAAATACGCTGTCTCTTCAGTCCCAGAACAATGTTTTGTTAGCATTGTATATAAGGAAATACAATTTTTAAGATAAATTTTAATTTTTATTTATGTATGTGTGTGCAGGAGCCAGAAGAGGGTTTCAGATCCTTTGGAGCTGGAGTTAACAGGCAATTTAAGCTGCTTTGTATGGGTGCTGGGAATTGAACTTGGGTTCTCTGGAAGAACAGCTAGTGTTCTTAACTTCTAGTAATTCCATCAGCCCCAGCAATTGAAATTCTTTCTTTTCAGTTTTAACTAATGTACAAATGTAATCTAATTAATAATTTTTTTAATAATATGGTCTTGTGTAGTTCAGGCTAGCCTCAAACGTAATATATAGCTAAGGATGTCTTTAAGCTCTTTTATTACTTAATGTGTCTGCCTGTGGAGAGAGGGGGGTTCACTAGTATGCTCACCTTTGGTTGCACTCATCCACATGTGCAACCATACATAGAGGCCAGAGTTAAACTTTGCTGTCTTCTAATACCACTCTCTGCCATCCCAGCGTTGGGGTTACATGGGGTTACACCCTACCATGCCTGGCTTTACTTGGGTGTTTTAAAGTTGAACTCAGTTAATTCTTCATGCTTGTGCACCAAGCACTTTACCAAGGGAGCCATCTTCTCATCTTTATGCACTTGGCCTGCCTGCCTCCATTTCCCATTTAATGGGTTTAAGAGAATATGGTACCACATCTGGTGTTTTGTTTACTTTTCATAGAAGATAGGTGAAAATCAGTATTTCTGGTAGGCATGGTGGCAGGCACATTTAAATTTTTGTTTATTTTGTATATATACACATACCAGAGTGACCATATGGAAGTCAGAAGAAAACATGTGGAAATCAGTTCCTCCTTTTACCTTATGACCAGGGATTGTACTCAGTTATCAGTATGTTTACCTGTTTAGCTCTCTCTGCAGCCCTGGCATATACTCTTAATCCCAGCGCTCGGGAAGCTAAGGAGGACGGTTGTGAGTTCTAAACCATCTTGGGCTGTACAGTGAGACAGTGTCTCAGAACAACAAAAGCACCTCTGTAGATAATAACATTTGGAGACAGGGTCTCACTGTGCTGCCCGAACATCTCTGTGCACTTGCTTCTGCCTCCAGAACTGCAGAGATAGCATGAAAACCTGGCTTAGGTAATAACATTATTTAAAGTTTACTTTATTTTTAAGTATTTAGGTATTTAATAGTTTAAATATTATTTTAATACTTTTTTGAAGTTAAATTATATCTCTTTTCCTTTTCCTCTAACCCTTCCACATTCTAGTGAAATTCACGGCCTCTTTTTCTTTAATTGTTTTACACACACACAAACACATACACGGAGACAGAGAGATAGAGAGACAGAGAGGCAGAGGGATGGAAAAAGGGAAGAAGGGAGGGAGGAGGAAAGGAGGAGCAAGGGAGGGGGAAAATAAATATAACCTGTTCAGTCCATATAATGTCTGTATGTGTATGAGTTCAGAGATGACCACCTAGGATTGGATAGAAAAAGAGGTTTTAGGGGTCTAGAGATATAGTACAATGGCAGATAGCTTGTGCATTATTCAAGGGGCCCTGGATTTGATTCCCTAATACCAAAATAAATTTTAAGACACGCAGACATACACACACACACACACACACACACACACACACACACACACATGCAGTTAAAAACTTGTTTTTAGCCATGCATTGTAATTCCTTTAAATCTTAGTACTCAGAGGTAAAAGCAGGTGAACCTCTAAGTTTGAGGCCAGCCTGGTTTACATAGTACATTCCAGGCCAGCCAATATTACACAATAAGACACTATCTCTCCAAAAAAAAAAAAAACAACAAAAAAAAATCTTTCCCAAAAGTCTTTATTATCTTTATGGGTGGGTATTGGCATACCACAGTGTTCTTGGGGAAGTCAGAAGAAAACTTACAGGAGTTTGTTTTCACTTCCTCTAGTGAGTCCTGGAGATTGAACTCAGGTTGTCAGGCTCAGCAACAAATGCTTTTACCCACCAAGCCATCTAACCAGCCTGAGACAAAAGATTTTTAATCCATCACGCTCAAATGTGTATCTTTGGTAGGTGAGAAGTAGTCCTGAAATAGCGCCTTCTGATGTGACTGATGAAAGCGAAATTGTGACTGCAACTGATAATGAAAAAGTTAGCCCCAGATTTGACGATGACAAGCATTCAAAAGAGGTGAAGATAACTGTACATTCAATTGTTCTTGTTACTCATGTCTTAAATGATCTTTGTAGCTGAAAAATATTTACTAAATTTTTCCAAGTATGTATATGATCAGAATGTAAGTCATTTGAAGTACTTTCTTTAAACATTTGGGTACTAAAATATCTGTTTTAATTAAAATTTATTTCTAGGAAGATCCATTTAATGTAGAATCAAGTTCACTGACAGATGCAGTTGCAGATACAAACTTGGATTTTTTCCAGTCTGATCCTTTTGTTGGCAGTAAGTATCTTTCTTTTGTAAGTGTATCCAAAACAGTACTTTCTTTTTTTTTTAAATTTTTTTATTGGATGTTTTATTTACATTTCATATGTTGTCCCCTTACCCCATACCCCACCCACCCAAGAACCCCCTATCCCCTTACCCCTCCTCCTTCTTATCTGTGGGTGTAACCCCTACCTACCCCCCCACTCTCACTTCCCCACCCTCAAAATTCCCACCCCCTGGGGCGTCCAGCCTTCATGAGGTCAAGGATCTCATCTTCCACCTATGCCCAGCAGGGCCCTCCAGTCTTACATATTCAGCTGAAGCCCTGGATCCCTCCCTAAGTGCTCCCAGGCTGGTGGTTTAGACCCTGGGAGCTCTGGTTGGTTGGTATTGTTGCTCTCCTCATGGTGCCTCAAACCCTTTCAGCTCCTTCAGTCCTCACTCTAACTCCTCCATTGAGAACCCCATTATCAGTTCAATGGTTAGTTGTGAGCATCTGCCTCTGAACATGTCAGACTCTTGAAGGCCTCTGAGGAGACATCCATATCAGGCTCTTATCAGCATGCACTTCCTGACTTCCACATCAGCATCTACCTTTGGTGACTGCACATGGGATGGATACTCAGGTGGAAAGGTCTTCAGATGGCCCCTCCTTCAGTTTCTGTCCCTCACTTTGTCTCCATATTTGCTCCCTTGAGTATTTTGTTGCTCCTTCTAAGAAGAACTGAATCACCCCCACTTGGTCTTCCTTCTTTATGAGCTTCATGTGGCCTGTGAGTTGCATCTTGGGCATTTCAAGGTTCTGGGCTAATATCCGATAATCAGTGAGTGAATACCATGTGTGTTCTTTTGTGATTGGCTTACTTCACTCAGGATTATAATTTCTAGTTCCATCCATTTACCTAGGAAACTCTCGAATTCATTGTTTTTAATAGCTGAGTAATACTCCATTGTGTAAATATACCAGATTTTTTGAATCCATTCCTCAGTTGAAGGGCATCTGGGTTCTTTCCAGCTCCTGGCTATTATAAATAAGGCTGCTATGAACATAGTTGAGCATATGTCCTTGTTATATGTTCGAGCATCTTCTGGGTATATGCCTAGGAGTGGTATAGCTGGATCCTCAGGTAATGCTATGTCCAATTTTCTGAGGAACCGCCACACTGATTTCCAAAGTGGTTGCACCATCTTGCAGTCCCACCAACAATGGAGGAGTGTTCCTCTTTCTCCACACCCTTGCCAGTATCTACTATCACCTGAGTTTTTAATCTTAGCCATTCTGACTGGTGTGAGATGGACTCTCAGGGTTGTTTTGATTTGCATTTCCCTGATGATTAAGGATGCTGAACATTTCTTTAGGTGCTTCTCGGCCATTCGAGTTTCTTCCGTTGAAAATTCTTTGTTAAGCTCTATACCCCATTTTTTAATAGGGTTATTTGGTTGTCTGGAGTCTAATTTCTTGAGTTCTTTGTATATATTGGATATTAGCCCTCTATCAGATGAAGGATTGGTAAAGATCTTTTCCCAATTTGTTGGTTGTTGTTTTGTCCTATTGACAGTGTCCTTTGCCTTACAGAAACTTTGCAATTTTATGAAGTCCCATTTGTCAATTCTTGATCTTAGAGCATAAGCCATTGGTGTTCTGTTCAGGAACTTTTCCCCTGTGCCCAAGTATTCAAGGCTCTTCCCCACTTCTCTTCTATTAGTTTCAGTGTATCTGATTTTATGCAGAGGTTCTTTATCCACTTAGACTTGAGCTTTGTACAAGGGGATAAGAATGGATCAATTTGCATTCTTCTACATGTTGTCCTCCAGTTGAACCAGAACCATTTGTTGAAAATGCTGTCCTTTTTCCACTGGACAGTTTTAGCTCCTTTCTGATATATAAATTATATAATCATTAAGGCTTCAGTTTTGAGAGTGTATTTTTTTCAATATAAGTAAAGCTAAGAATAAGTGTTATTTGCTACTATTTAATTTTAACATTTTACCTTAGGATTATCTGATTAAGAGAATTTTCTTCAGAGTAAAGGCTAAAGGAAAGATATATTATAAGCCAGTGGTAGAGATTGCACATTCATGAATCAGCATTACTTAGCTAATAATTACTAAAATACTAGCACCAGGCCAAGCATGGAATCACACTTCTGTAATCCCAACATTTTGAGTTTAGCCTGAGCTTTAGAACAAAACTGCTTCAAGAAACTTTTTAAAAATCAAGAAAAAAAGGAAAAAAAGCTAACACTGTAATTTTGAATCATTAGAAGGTGTTGGGCATGGTGACATAATTTTTTAGTTTTCGTACTCAAAAGACAGAAGTAAGTAGATGGATCTCTTGTGTTCAAAGCCAGCATAGCTTACATACCCAGGGCCACACAGTGAGATTATTATCTCAAAAAAATAAAATAAAACTGAAATAACAGTGGAAGCTATAATAGAATTAGATGTCTGATTTTCTTTCCTTAAGATATTTCTAATTTTAGAAACTTAAATCTAACTGGGCATGGTGGTGCATGCCTTTAATCCCAGCAGTCAGGAAGCAGAGACAGATGAATCTCTTGAGTTCAAGGTCAGCATGGTCTACAAGAGTGAGTTCCAGGACATCCAGGGGTACATAGAGAAACCCTATCACAAAAAACAAACAAACAAACAAACAAACAAAAACTCTGACTAAAATATATCATGACTGTGAACTATGTTAAATATTCCTTTTGTCAATGGTCTTTTGAATTATATTTTATTTCCAGATCTATCTTGTGAAACTGAGCTTGGTATCATAGGTGTATGATGTAAATTCCAGCACTTGGTAAGCAGAGATGGGAGGATCCTGTAGGCTTCAGGCCAGTCTAGTCTACATAGTTTGTTTCAGCCAGGGCTGCATAGTGAGATCTAGTCTCAGACAAATAAGGGGCTGGAGAAATGGCTCAGCAGTTAAGCCTTGGCTTAATCTGCTTGCTGCTCTTGTAGAGGACCTGCGATCTGTTTCCAGTGCCCACATGGCAGTACAACTGTGTGTCACTCCAGTGCCAGAGGATCTGATGCCCTCTTCTGTCTTCCACTGGCACCAGACATGCACTTGGTGCATAGAAAGCAGACAAAACACTTATACTCCAAAATAATTAAATAAATAGATGAATAAATGAATAAATAAATAAACAAAATTTATACAAACAAAGAACAAGAGATATAAACCTAAGACACACAAGCAATATAACTTATCCAATAGTCATGGCAGAAAGTTATTGATAACTTATCAATAGTCATGAGCCCGAATATTTGAACTCTCTAAAATAAACAAACACAAAATAGTTTTTTGAAATGTGTAAAGCGCCAAAAAGTAAACATAAGTTTTGCACTTAAAATACATAGGACTGAGATTGTGCTCAGTAGAAGAGTACGTCGTAGCAGACTTAATACCTTGGTTTGATCCTTAGAAGTACAGACCAATCATTCAGTCATAGATTAAGAACACTTACAGTTTTAGAGTTGTCACCTTAATCTAATTTTGGAGCAGTTTAACACTTTTCCCCACCTCAGCTCCAACCTAATTTTCAAATGAACATAATTATTTAACTATTTCTCCAAAATATATATGTAAACAATCAGTAAGCTTATTGAAAGATTTACAATGTTAATCAAACTCCCAAATGAGCTACCACTTCACATCTACTAGGATGGCTGTAATCAAAAGCTAATAACAAGCGTCAGTGAGGTATATAGAAATTATAACTACCATAGACTGTAGCAGGAGGTATTAAAAATGCTCCTGGCTCAGCCACCATGTTCCTTCGCTTAGTCCAGCACCTGCTGGCAGTCTCAGTGGTGCTGGCCCAGGCTCCTCCTCCCCAGACACTGGCATGGTTGCTGTCTCCGCCTACCAATTCCATGGCCTCCGTGGCTCTAGGCCTGGTTCCTAGGCCAACTCTGCCACTTCCATGGCGCTAGGCCTAGCCCCATGCAATACCCACTATCCTTGTGGTTAGATATCACAATACCTAGTAACCCAGTAAATCAAAACTCTTAATGCTTAGAGTTAAACAGTCAGATTTATATATCAATGAAATCTCAATACACGAGATGCCCACACAATTTAGATAAGTTATCCCAGTTATCCTAAGCTTTTGATATGAATAACTACTGAGGCTACAAAGTCCACGGGGGTCACATCTGCCTCCATTTCGCCTTCCTTTTCTCCCCCCTTCTGAGCCCCTCTCTCAGCCACTCTTAGCTCCGCCTCTCTTTTCCATGTCCAATCATAGACCTCCTGCTGCACTAATATTTAAAATAGATTTGGCAGGGAAATTCCTGCTACAATACACTACTCCTGGAAATGTGAAATGGTCTTTGGAAAACTGCCAGGCAGTTTCTGAACCAATAATTAGAATTACTTTATGTCCTGATATGTACCCAGGAGGAATGGACACACACAAAAACATGTATATATGTCTTTTTGCTTAGGTTTTTTTTTTTTTGAGACAGGGTTTCTCTGTGTAGCCGTAGCTGTCCTGGAACTCACTCTTTATACCAGGCAGCAAAAATGTATATGTCAATGTTGAGCAGCACATCATTTTTTTTTCTCCTTTTCAATTAGACTGTCTTTTTTTTTTCCTCTAATTATGTATGTGGGCATGTGAACATGAGTACAGAGGCCCGTGGAATCAGATCCCTCTCGAGCTGGAGTTGCAGGCAGTTGTAACCTGCCCAGTTTGGGTGCTAGGAATTGCTCCTTGGCAAGAGCAGTATACACTTTTAAATGCTGAGTCATCTTTCCAGCCCAGTTTATCTTTTTATTGTTGACTTGTAAGAGCTTTTTACGTGTTCCAAGTAAAACTCTTAACATATGATTTGAAAATACTTTATTAACTCTCTTGCTCTGCGTGTGTGCGCATGTGCGTGTGCATGTGCGTGTTTGTGTGGAGTTTTTTTGAGACAGGTTATTATTCTGCCTCAAGCTAATGGTAGTCTTCTTTTTGCCTCACCCTCCTGAGTGTCGATTATAAGCATGAGCATTCATACCGTTTCTTCTCAGAATGTATAGTTGGAGCTGTTAAATCTGGAGCTTTGGGGCTGGAGAGACAGCTCAGTGGTTGAGGACACTTGCTGCACACTACCAGAGGACCTGGATTTGGTGCCTAGCACCTACAACAGGTAGTTCAAACTGCCTGTAACTCCACTCCAGGCATCTGATCTGATGTACTCTGGCCTATTGTGCACCTGCATGCATGCACACACACACACACACACACACACACACACACACACACACACGATGAGTGGGTGGAGATCTTAATAACTAAAGAGATTTAGAGATTTAGTGTAATTAATTCTATATCCAGTATGAAGTAAAGATCTTTTTTGTTGTCTAAACATCTTTTTTTTTTTCCAAGACAGGATGTTCTGTAGCCTAGACTGGCCTCAGACTCACTGTACAGCCAAAGCTAACCTTGAACTTCTTCTGATCCTTCTCCCTCTACATTTAAATGCTGAGATTATGATGCACACCATCACACCAGACATATGGGGTTCTGGGGCTAGAGCTCAAGACTTTGTGCCACCCAGGAAAGCACTCAGCCAATGTAAACTATCTCCCTTTCCTGGCCCTGCTGCTCAGGTCTTGAGAGTCAGGGTCTAGCAAGAGAGAAAGTGGGGATGGAGGGACAAGAGATACGAAGAATGGAGACAAGACAGAGGGTCTGATCAAATCTCGTTTATGGAAAGGAAATCCTGGGTATTTATACGCTTTTCCACATGCCTTGCTGCAGTGGACAAGCAGGGGAACACAGCTAAAGGCACTTTGTCACATGACTTACAGCCGTGGATACCAGTGTGCCTTGCAGCTGGGGGCACTAAACAGCAAAACAAGGTATGTGAGGAAAAAAAAGATGTTTAACAGAGTGTGCTCAGCTGTTGTGGGCTGTTGAAAAACAAGTCTCTTGTCAGGGTATATGATCTGAGATGGCTGCAAAGATGATAGCCGCTTTCTGCTAGGAGTTGGCTCCCAACACATCCTCAGCCCCAAATACCATTTGTTGAAAAGACTGTACTTTCACCTTTTCTTTGTTATGTGCTTGAGACACTCTTGTCAAAATTCAAGTGGCCATAGATGTGAGAGTTTGCCTCTGGCTTCTAAAATTTCTGACAGTTTTTGGTTTTGTTTTGTTGTTGCCTTAGTCAGGCCTTCTTTATTACATGAAGTACTGTTGGTAATATCTACTCAGCCTTGTGAGGAGTAGATGTTTTGTTGGTAAATGTTTACTATTGTGTCTCCCTTCTCCTGTAACCTCTGTCCATCAAAGGTAAGTATATTTGGTTCTTATGTTAGTTACTCTCCTGTTGCTATGATAAAACATCATGACCAAGGCAACTTACGGAAGTCAGAGTTTATTTGGACTTACTATTTCAGAGACTTAGAGGCTGTAATGGCAGGGACTGCACAGCAGCAGGCATGGCAGCCAGAACAGGAAGCAGAGAGCAAACATTAAGTCAAGTCTTAGAGCTCTCAAAGCCTGCCTCCCATGGCACACTTCATCACTTCATCCAACAAAGCTAAACCTCCTAAACCTCCCCAAACAGTGAAACCAACTGTGAACCAGGTGTTCAAAGGCCAGAGACTGGAGGACATGTCTCTTCAAACCACTGTCATTCTTATTTGCCTTTTTATGATGTGTATTAAGTCGAGCATTTACTTTTTATTATTTTAAATCTTACATAAGGTGAATAGCATGATTCTATTGAAATAGAATCGTTGCATTAAAGTATTATAGTATTGAATTAGAATTGTTGAAACTGCTATTGTTTAACTTAATTTTGCTTTTGTTTTAAAAAAATATCCTTTTCTACAACAATAAATAATAGTATTTATTTATTTATTTATTTTTACCTTTTTTTTTGCCACAGGTGACCCTTTCAAGGATGATCCATTTGGAAAAATTGGTCAGTATATTTTTGAGTTTCTTCTTAACTTTAATTCTATTCTGTTATAGCCTTATATTGTATTTAGTGAGAACACAGAACTTGAATAGTTCTAGGAGATGAACTGCTTTTTAGTTTTAAAACTGCTCTAAAGCCAAGGTGTGTGTGTGTGTGTGTGTGTGTGTGTGTGTGTGTGTTGAGCAAGGACTCTTATCTGTCACGAGCAGGCTATTGATAAGGATTTAGTATCCCCTTGGGGAGAGGAGTAGGGAGAGGAGCAACCGGTCCTGCTCCACTCAGGGATTGTATGCTGGATTTGACTGTGAGATTGTCAGCTCCACGAGAGGGAAGAGAGAGTAAGCCAAAGACAGGGGTTTTAGAATTTAGTTACTCTTTAATGATGCACAGCAAGCAATGCTAAGGCTATTGCTACAACAAGATATTGCCACATTTCATATGCATTGCCTCTAACAATATAGTGCACAATGAACACAAATAATAAGTTGCTAATTACCAAAGAAATAAGCATAGCAATAAACACATCATTCATTCATGGATTATACGACCTGAGTCCTTTTGATTATTTCGGGTTACAGGTCCAGAGTCCTGGAAGGTGGGGTCAGGCTGTGGCTTCCAGATAGTTGAATTGCTAATTTGACCTAGAAGGGTGCTTGACCATGAAGCTGGGGCATTGGTCTCTCGGTTAACTCTTTGATGACTGGGTGCTGAGGAGGCTTTGTCCAGAGGATCACATTAGCCAGTCATGGCTACAAGTGTGATGAAGTGCTCCGATTAGGCTCCTTTTTTATGTTTGGTTTGACATTACTGCTGCCATGCACACCAGCTAACCACTCGTGTCTGGTTATCTCAACACAACTTTACTTCCAGACTTGTCTCTACAAGTACCAGACTTGTCTCTACAAGTTTCCTATTACAAAATGGAGTTGTCCTGTTCAGGGCCTGCTCCTTACAGTGTGTGTGTGTGTGTGTGTGTGTGTGTGTGTGTGTGTGTGTGTGTGTGT